TTATATTTATGCTCAAAGTTAATATAAATTTTATATTTATGTTTATATTTATGCAAAGTTAATATAAATTTTATATTTATATTTATGCTCAAAGTTAATATAAAATAAATATATATCTGTTAAAATATTTTACTCGCTATTCAAAATAAATCAAATTGCTGACCAAATTCTCAAATAAAAATTAAATTCAACCCAAAATTTATTTTGCAGCGTCTGAATTTTTAATTTCTACCATAGAACCAAAATTATGGAATAAAATCTTAACTAATAAAATATTACCTAATGAAACAATTGCAACACTTAATGAGTTTAAGAACAAATTGAGACAAAAACTATTGGCGAACAAGCGCTCAGCGTTTTCTGAAGTATTAATGGATGCTACTAATAAGCTTACCCGACAATTTGAGGTTTGTCATTACCAGTTTAGTAATATTAGAAAGGATCGTGTTACTTGTTATTAATTTAATTTGTCTTTTATAAAAACTTATGGTTTATAAAATTTCTCCAAAAATTTTAAGGTGCTGGTTTAAAAGAAAAGCTTCAAAATTTTGCGTATTTGCCTGCATGTTTTTTAATAATGTAGTTTTTATTATACTGAACATTTTATCTTTGTATTTAAAATTGTTCTTAACCAATAAAAAAACAAAAAGTTAAAATAGGACATTGAGACCTATGATGTTTATTTATAAGGTCTTTAAAAAAACGTGTTATATAGTGTTATGTTTTTTAATTTTTGTTATTTTATATTTACGATATAGATCGATATTGCGATATTGATGGTAAGGCAAACTATGTTTTCTTCTTGACCCTTCTATTTGTATTTATATATCATGTTTGGGGTTGTCCATTAATTACGTCAACAAAATAGGGGGAGGGGGTCTGAACTTATTTGACAATTGTTGACATGGGGGAGGAGGGAGTCAATTAAAGTTGACGTCAACAATTTTTTTTTTTTTTTTTGAGTTTCATTGCTTAAATAATAGAAAATTAGGCAGAGTTTGTAGCGTAGTTTCTTTGTAGGGGGGGGGGGGAGTTGTGGGTAATCAAAAGTTGACGTAATTTATAGGGGAGGGGGGGGGGGGTCTCTGGAAATTTGACAAATTGTTGACAAGGGGGAGGGGGAAGTAAAAGTTGACGTATTTAATGGACAGCCACTTTGCAGCTTGAATAAATTTATACGGCAAAAAAAAAAACATAACAAAACAAACGGTTCTACCCACACAAACTCTAAAATCAGCTTTTTTTTCCTCGTCTTAGTTGTTGTTGCATTGTTTGTGGTCTAAAAAAAAGTATTTAAAGTACTCCAAGAAGTTTTACAGTCTTATCATATAGCACCTCGGAAAGAGCATTAAACTAGGAAGTTCACACCTCCTTCCTTAGCAATGTCTCTTTTATGGTCAGCTTATACTTTCATTTTAAGAATTATGAAATTTTTTTAACTAAAAATATACTGTATTTTCTCAACCCCACAACATTACCGAGCATGAATCAAATATTGAACTTGGTACAAGAGGATTTGGAAAAAAGAATTTCGCTGCCTTTTCCTTTACTTCTTATAGGTTGTTATCGCTTTTTTTAACGATTACGTTAACGTATCAACTGTTTTCGGAAACTATAATGTAAATAAATATTGGTAAGGTCTCAAACTTGTACAAGTTATAATTCCTAGAGGGCACAGAAATGTTTTGAAAACGTTTTTTAAAGGTCCCGTAAATTATATTTTTTAACAGTTTCTGATTTTTAATTACCTTAAAATAATAGCATAAAAAATGACGAATAGTGGTTTCAAAGCGTTCTAAATGTTTTTGAGCGAGTACTATGAAGTAACTTGAAAGCATCAAAATAAAAATGGCTTATCTTCTCTAGTCTATAAAAAAATAGAAGTCAAAGCAGTTTTTTTTAATTTTAAATCCTCTTAAATTTGTTATTATCTATAACTATCGATAAAAGACGTTGTAACGAGAAATGTGAACGTAAATAAGTGAATTTAAAAGTGTATTCGTTTAGACAACTATAGGCAGCCAATTTTTAAACCGCGATATTAGTTGCATACTGTTGTTAAACGATATATAAATTAAGGCGGATGATACAGGTTTTTTTTTTTTACTCGATGTTTTCTTTGCTATATAGGTTTATATAAAATGCAAACAAAATAATTTATTTATTTAAATATTAACATAACATTATATAAATTATTTACACAGTAAAAAAAGAATAAACCTAAAGTTCTTTAAAATAGGAAATGAAAGTTTTAAAAAGATGTAAAAAGAATAATTAAAAAAAAAATTTCACACTTTTTTTTAATTATTACTGATAAAATGTATTCAAAATGATATTTTATCGCAAGATTATGTGCCGAAAAAATTAAAATTTCTGGCTAATGTTAATATGTTGATACATCTTGACACTTTTTAAATTTCAAAAGTTTTATTTTTGTTATGTCACACCATGTGAGATAACAAAAATAAAACAAGAACAATCAAAAATTAATATCGACTAACAGTTTTGTGAATTTTTTAAATTACTTTGTTTATAAATTTATTTTTTTTAAGCGGCTTTTAAAGCCACTTTATATATTATATATTATATATATATATTATATATATATATATATATATATATATATATATATATATATATATATATATATATATATATATATATATATATATATATATATATATATATATATATATATATATATATATATATATATATATATATATATATATATATATATATATATATATATATATATATATATATATATATATATATATATATATATTATATTATATTATATTTTATTATATTATATTATATTATATATATATTATATTATATATTATATTATATATTATATATATATTATATATTATTATTATTGTTATTATATTATATATTGTCTATAATATTATTATTGTCTTTATTATAAATATTATGAAGTAACATCCATGATATTTTACCAGCAAGTAGATCATGAACGTCATAAAATTGTTCGAAACAAAAAGTAAGAAACACAAAAACGTTATCAATTAATTATATTCATATAATTTTGAAAACATTTCTAGTCAAAAAATAAAATTGTGCTCCACCTTTAAAGGCGGAGCACAATTAAAGGAGGAGCACAGTTAATGGTGGAGCACCGGCGGAGCACAGTTAAAATCTATAAAGTTTTATAATGTTATTAAAACTTTTTTATTTATAAAAAAAAAAGAAAAAAAAAAAGCTGAACAATGGTGTTCTAATAAGAGTTTGTATGCTTGTGCTGATGTGTACCAAAGAAAAATCAAATACGGTTAAATATATTACGAAAATTTTAGCTAATTAACTGCTTTTTTTGTATTCTTCTTCATTGAGGTTAGTTGTTAATAGAATTGCTAAATCCTTTGACTAATTCTTTTCATGTACCTAACATTAGCCAACAAAAAAAAAATTTTTCTCTGGTGCCGAGCACCAGAAAATTTTTTTTTTTACTTTCACACAAATTGAAATCATTATTGTACATCAAATGATATGAAAAAAAGGCTGCAATTTTTATCATGATGAGAAAATTGTTTTCAAGTTTAAAGAAGGCTATAGTATGAGAAAAATTTAAGTAAATCTCAAAGTAGTCAAAAACACGAAGAGTGACGTTTTAAAAAAGTGGAAGAAGAAAGTTGGTGTGTCTCAGAAAGTTGGTTAAGGCCGTCCAAAAAAACGGTAAGAGTTGAATGGGCTCTGGTAAGAAGATCATTTGGCAACAGAAGGTTGACTTTTCAGCTTGGACAATTAGCATGTGACGATGTTACATAGTACCTAGACAGCACGACGCATCTAGTTAAAATATGGATTTAGAGGATGTATTGCTGCTAAAAACCCACATCTGTCATCAAAAAATTTGTATTAATTCATATTAATTATTTAAGGTGCCCCAAGAAGTCCTTACGGTCTTATCACAGAGCACCGCTGAAGAGCATTTGAAGAGAAGTTCACGTCTCCTTCCTTACCGATGCTGTTAAACTTCCCCAGACGTGGTGTATTAAATTTTGACCAGCACTGTATTTCTTTTCAATCAAAAGATATCTTTAAACAAAAAACCTGCATTAGTAGGGATTTTTCACTAATTATTCTTTTGTTTTGTAATTATATTTTTGTCATTATAAATCTAAAAGATATTATTAAGAACAAATATTTTATGAAATAATTTTTTCAGGTGTGTACCACCTTAAGATCTATATTTTTAAAATTTTATAAATTTAAAACACTCTGTTGACACTCTTTTCAATGATATATTACAATTTAATATTTCATTTAAGAATTTAACAATTCTGTCACACATAATTTCATATAATTTTCATATCTATCAGAATGAAATTTCTCTTCTCTAAATACAAATACCTTTTATTATAGATTCCATTACATCAATAAATTCATTATATGAATATTCACAAATAATAGAACATGATACTTGATATCAATTCAAGGCTACTTCAATATTTATTTCGAAAACCTGTTGTTTTGATTTAATTTCATTTTAAAACAAACATGCATTTGCCTCTCTTTCAAAATTAGGAAATCGAATTGCGTCATTCTGTGCTTTCTCTCAGTCTGTGCGGGGCTTTCGAATGTGGGCGTGGGAACAACAACTTAAATGTTATTTAAAATTCTATTAGTATTCTGTAGAAGTTTTGATATTCTTATCGTAAAATCAGAAAAATATGGTTTTTAGCTCAAACGGGGCAAGCCAACAACCAAATTTACCTAAGCATATTTCATCAATGCTTAGCTGTTTAGCGATTTCTAGAGGTTATTTTATAAAAAATTGTGAAAAATAGTTTAAAAAAAAAAAAGCAGTGGGAAACCACCTTATATATATTTTTTCTGTGGTTTTTTGCGATAAAGCTTTCTTGAAGTACTTTAAGAAAAAATTATCTTTTGAACGTGTTAGTTTATTTTTTATCAAACATGACGCTAAGAAATTTAAATTTCACCTCAAACTAATTTTTATTTTTAATGAACTCAAATTGTTTTATAAATTTTTTTTTTTTTTTATAAAAATATTCAGCTATCAAACTTGATATGTAAAGAAATAATTTTGTCCAGGTTCTTTTTTGCTGATTCGTACTCTTTTACAGAAAAATGCTTGCTTAAAATTGGATCTTTACATAAAAAAATACGATCCGACTCTCTCGCGAGAACAAGCAACGCCAGCATATAGTTGTCTGGAAAAACAAAACCAAATGCGATATTCTGTATCAATTTTTCCAATTTTAGCTCTGGCTCCGGATTAATTGTGGGAAAGCGCTTAAAAATACCAAATACGCCAGATGGCTGTTCATCTAAAATACCGCGAGCAACTAGACTCTCAAAAGCCAACTCAACACAATCTGCATCTACTGCACGAATTAACCATTTCCACAATACTGTTTCCCGCAACTTGCCATGCATTTTTGCGTTCCTCAACGCGTCAAATATGGATATTTTAAGAAAAACAGAAATAACTTTATTTATGTTTTTGTCAATTAAACGAAAATGTGGTTCGTCATCATTTTCGTGCATATACAACTCAATGAGATTTTCAGCACATAAATCGATGAAAAGAGCCGCAAAAGCTCCTATCTTGAGTTGAATACCAAAGAGCCTTCCATCAACCTCTCCGGTCACAGCATTTTGCCAAAGTAAACAATACGCTTCACATAAATGTAAATCATGCTGTTTAAAACTGTCGCGATTAAAACTTACGTCATTGACAACTTTATACACTATTCTAGAAAATCTTTTAGCGACTTCTTCTTGATCTTGATATAAATTTGCAAGACTGTTTGGTTCACACGCCATCTTTAAAAAAAAAATTATATAAAAAAAAAAAATTAAATGGAATGTAAAGAATGATCTGTTTGGTTAAAGTAAAAATGAATTTATTGAAAAATAATGGTAAAAAAATAAATTCAAAATTATGTACTTAAAAATAAATTGAAAAACACTTTAATCCACTTTAGGTTTTAAAAAACCACGCTTTGCTCTATTCGTTAACGAATTTTCGTCTAATTCGCTATCCGAACTGCTATCACTAACGAATTTTCGCTTAGATTTCTGAAATTTTTTTCCTATTGTGTCCACCAGACTCTCGTACCTGAAAGTAAGATTAATTTATCAACAAGGTAATGATTATATTTTAAGAAAAATCAAATAAAAAAAAAATTCACAAATAAAAAAAGTAAAAAACAAAGAATGTGTATAGTTCTCTAATCAAAAGCTTTTCAAAAAGTAAAACCAATAGGCGTTTACATAAAAGGTAAATAGTTGAATTCAAAAAGAAATTTGAATTTGAAAACAAAAAAACGAATATAATAGTAATAGCAGGAAACAGATAAAATCATCTGCATCTAATTAGAAATCAAACCTTTCAGCCATATCACGATCTGATATTTGATCAAAGTTTTCCCTTTCATCAGAATAGCGCATATTTACTTTGGCGACAATTTCTTGATGAACTTTCTTGAAAAAATAAATAACTGTAACCTCATTTAACAAACATATTAAGTATTACAAAAACAGGGATTCAAAGAATAAAATGGTTACCTGCACTAAAGGATTGTAATTCATGAACGACATTCTCCCAATAGGTAGCAATTCCTCGCATAGCACATAGCCGGCACCAAACTCAAAATTTTCCCTAAAATAAAACGTTTTTATAAGTTGTATATACTTAATAAAAATTTATAGTTTACTTAATTTGTAAAAAATTCACTACAACGCGCCGATAAAAAAAAAAAGATGCCACAAAAAATATAAAAATAAATATTTGAGCACGTCGGCAGGACTCAAAATGATAACCTAGTTGTCATTTTATAATTTATTATTAATAGATTAAATATATGCGTTATTATTAAGAATGATTACTAAAAAAAAAAAAAAAAAAAAACCCAGAGGTCGACCTCTGACTTTATTTTTCTTTTAGTATTCTAGATGTTATTTCTTTTAGTATTCTAGATGTTATTTCTTTTAGTATTCTAGATGTTATTTCTTTTAGTATTCTAGATGTTATTTCTTTTAGTATTCTAAATGTTATTTCTTTTAGTATTCTAGATGTTATTTCTTTTAGTATTATAAATGTTATTTCTTTTAGTATTCTAGATGTTATTTCTTTTAGTATTCTAAATGTTATTTCTTTTAGTATTCTAGATGTTATTTCTTTTAGTATTCTAGATGTTTTTATTTTTTTAGTATTCTAGATGTTATTTCTTTTAGTATTCTAGATGTTATTTCTTTTAGTATTCTAGATGTTATTTCTTTTAGTATTCTAGATGTTATTTCTTTTAGTATTCTAGATGTTTTTATTTTTTTAGTATTCTAGATGTTATTTCTTTTAGTATTCTAGATGTTATTTCTTTTAGTATTCTAGATGTTATTTCTTTTAGTATTCTAGATGTTATTTCTTTTAGTATTCTAAATGTTATTTCTTTTAGTATTCTAGATGTTATTTCTTTTAGTATTCTAAATGTTATTTCTTTTAGTACTTAGATGTTATTTCTTTTAGTATTCTAGATGTTTTTATTTTTTTAGTATTCTAGATGTTATTTCTTTTAGTATTCTAGATGTTATTTCTTTTAGTATTCTAGATGTTATTTCTTTTAGTATTCTAGATGTTATTTCTTTTAGCAATCTAGATGTTTTTACCTTTTAGTATTCTAGATGTTATTTCCTCCAATCTAATTCCTCTAAAATTGTAGTTATTCTTTTTTAATTAAAGGTTTTACAGAAAAATGTTAAAGATTTATTATTAGCTGTGTTTTCTCGTCACAATTACCAAGTGCCGGTAATCAAGTATGGATCTTGTATTGTTATGAAAATTTTTAAATTATTTGCAAAATGAAACTACATATTTCGTAAGGAAAGATTACGTAAAAAAACTTAAAAAATGACAAAATACTGACATATATTCTTGATAAAAAAGATTTTTGTGGTTAATTTTTAGTGGAAAATGCAACAGATCAGGCATTGTAATTACAGTAGACAACGACCAATGAAAGTTCAAATGTGAATTTAAAAATATATTTTTAAATTCAAATTTTTTTTTACAAAATGGTAACCTATTTAGATAAACTGAAAAATAAAAATTTAGATTAATACAAATTGTTTAGATTAAGCATAACTGCAAAATAATCACAAAATAATTTAGCAGTCAAAAAAATAATTTTTTTTTTTCATTTTTTCATTAAAAATGAACAATGGTGAGTTGCTCCCCTCAAACAGGTAGCAAAAATAATATGGGGGCGTCGATATACGACACTTATTTCGACCCCTGCAAATGCATAAGTGAAAATACTCAGAATTTGACAAATACATAAGTGAAATACCAGTTTTAGAAAGGAAAACTGAAAATATTTAAGACTCTTTGTTATTACAATGCTTTGCTAACAGTTTTTTTTGGGGGGAATTTTAATTTAATATTTATTTAAATCTCAAATGTAATTTTGTTTTTTATTATCAAATAATTGAAAAGTAGCATGTAACTGTTCACAATGCAAAATACAAGCGCTAACATTTTTCAAAGAGAAATAAGTGATTCTACAAGAAATAAGCGATGACTGCTTTTAGATTATCAATGGAAGTTTTACTTAACAATGTAGTTTACTGTGAACATTTACTGTGACAACACGAAAATTAAATTTGGTATGCTAAATATTTTGTAAAATCTTTTTTTTTTTTTTGATGAATGAAGATCAAACTCTTTGTTGATAACAATTGAAAAATTTAAATTTATTAACCTCAGCGATAACAACCTTAAAAACAGTATTCTATCCAACTAGAATTTCAAAATGCATCAAAATTTACCTTTAAAGAATACTTAAAACAAAAAAAAAAACAAAAAAAAAAAAAAAACTTAACACCCTGATATTGCACAGGTTTCTTCTTACAACATTCGGGTCAGGCTAAGTTTAAGATCTTCATGATAATTCTGCTACTGATAACATGTAATCCAGTATAACTTGCATCATTTTCTGCTGCCTGGTAGGACTTGGATTTCTTGGCAAACACTAGGAGAAGTTAACTATGACTTATACACCCTGGTTCACTTAAGGCTAGAGATAGTGTCTCAATAAAAATATTCATCCTAGGCAGATGTTAACTGTATCTGGCTACCGTCTTGCAAGTTTGTGGAGACAAATGTTTTATTTACAGCTTGGCTCTTAAGAAATGTCCAGCTGCAGCTCGGCTCCCATCCTTTATGAACCAAAAATTTCCCAAATCCAAACCAATTACAGTAATTCATTTTTAACCAACTTTCATGATTACAAGGTTAATATATTATTTTATTAATTTTTTATTTATGTAATTATTTGAATTTTCATGCTGTATTATTCTATAAAATGTTCTTATATCCGAAGATATTGTTGGCTTAGCATGGGAATAACCACAAATAGTCATTAAGACTAATCCAAAGTAGTGCGTTTCAGTAGTACTTCAGTACGCAAATGTTTTTGACCAACATTTGCGTACTGAAGTACTACTCAAGTGCTGAATTGGTGGTGGCAGGATTTGAACACGTATCATACAACAGTCTGAGTTTTAACTTTCGTTTGATGCTCTATTACTATCACTACTCTACTACTGCATACTACATTAAAAAATATATATAGGTAAATAGTCTTAGTTTTAATTCTATGGTACCTAAAAAAGATGTCTTTTTAATGTTTAAAAGACACCTAAAAGGTTCTAAAGACGTTAAAAATGCTCCAAAGATGTTTAAAAGACTCAATATAAAAAATCAAATATCAATTTAAAAATCAAGTACCAATATAAAAATATAATATAAAGAAATATATGTAATACTATAAAAATGTTTCCATTGTTTTTTTCTTTACAATAAAGCATAGAAGTAGCAAGAAGTACTATTAAAGGATAGTATTTTTCAAGAAATGCTATTAAAGAATAGTATTTTTGTTGAGTACAAAGTTGTTATAATATTCATTTTTATCACGTTTGGCAAAACTGTAACTGTTAGAAAAAATATTTTAAAGAAATTGAAATTCAATAATTTATTCAAAAAATTAGTTTAACAATGAATGAATAAAATTTGTCTACAGTAATAACATACTATTTAAAAAAAAAAAAAACAATAGCTGAGATCAGCTCAATTTTTGCTTATTTTTTGTGAGAATTTCAGCAATTCAGACAATTCATAAATATCATCATCAGATCCCACTACATTCCTGGTTGTACTGCGCTTAACTTGTTTTTTAAGTTAAGTGCAGTACAACCAACAGTAGCAACCAAAGCCTTGTTCTTTAAGGTTTGTGTTTCTGAGTTAAAGAGTTGAAAGAGGTTTGTAATCAAAATAAAGTAGCCTTCCCTCTCAGCCTTGGGGAGGTGAATAAAATAAAATAAAAAGATCTCAGTGCTAATGGCTATTATTCTTTGATTTGCAAAGATTTAGCTTAGCCTGGGCATACAACTATGACAAATACGCTTAGCCTAACTATGAAGCAACTCACTTAATTTGTCGCAACATCAGGTTAAAATCCTACAACTATTTTTTTTAATCAACTTTTTTTTCCATTGTTCTTATTCACACAACTGCACTCTTTTTAATGTTGCTTCTGATCAAATCAAATAAAAAAAAGCCTTTATTCATTATCCCTCTACCAATAAAATAAAATAAAAATTTTTTTTTTCACTATCCCTCTACCAATATTTTTTGTTATTTGTGACTTAAACGTATTGAATGGCTTAGTTATATACACTCATCAAATTGAATGGCTTAGCTCTATAACCTCCCTGATACTAAACATCAAAATTTTTGCATTTCTCAATGTCTTCCTCAGATAACTTTGTAACTTGTTTCCCAGACAGTCCTAATCACTTACTAACCAGTTTTGTCTCTGACCCTAGCTTTTGCTTGGTTTCTCCTTGAACTCCTTTATCTAGTTCAAATTCTCGAAAAATATTTATCAGATTACTACATCAGATTCACCAATCATTTACTTCTTCAAACTACTTCAAGGTTAAGATTCTTTTCGTGATTCTTTTTATTTTTTTTTTTGGGCTAACTTTTGTCTCTGTGCTGAAAATTATGCTATCTTTATAACCTCCAGGAATCAAGGCATGAAAACTTTTGTTTCTCTTTGT